GGACCTGTCCAGATACTTGCCAAGGATCAACACTGATTTGAGGGGAGGGGAGGGGAGGGGAGGGGAGAGGAGAGGAGACTCTTCTTCAAGATCTATCCAGAGGAAGCCCACCATGGGGTGAAGATGGCAGCTTGGTGCACACATCCTTAGGCGAGTAAGGGAAAGGTTTTATGGATCCCAGAATGCTCAGCAGGACTTAGATCTGGTTTGCACTTGGGTCGAAGACCACCATGAAATCCCACGAGGATGGACTAGGAACAAAAAATCCCATGGAGTGGTCATGGCCAACCACTTCCTGACGCCTGCCGAGAATCTGAATGTGCCCATGTTGCCACCAGGAGCCTTTAACTTTCAACTGCTTGGGGATGAGCAACAAGTGTCAAATTTGAACCTGTTTGTACAGCTCTTGCTTTTAGTTCTTTGTGATTTAAATGACAAGTCACACAATTTCCTCAGTTATCTTCACACTCCTGATGAAGTAAGACTACTGATTGAGATTAACCCTGCAGCATACTAACATACTCATTGACAGGAGCCACACAATTCACCAAACCATGGTTTGTCTAGTCAGGGTTTGTTGCATCAGCCACAATTGGCTTAAGCCATAAAGCATAGTTTACAAACTACAATGATTAAAATTGCACACTAACCCAAAACCAAGCATCCCCTTTTAACTTTGTGCAATGTGTGAACCTAACTGTGGCTTTAAACCAGCCTTCAAATTTGCCCAATAAATAAATATATATATAAATATATTCAATTTGGAGTGAATATAAGGCAGAGCAGGGTGCTGGATTTCTCTTGGATAATTTGCAATTTTCTTTATACCTAATTATCTAACAATAGCAACCAAACTGCAGTTGCAGAAACAAAACATGGTGGGGGGGAGAAACAGGAGAGGGTTTTTATATGGAAAGATCTTCAAACTTAAGTTTATTTATCTGCAGCACTAACTTTCCATAGCCTCTCAGCTATTTACAAAAATCGGGATGCTGATCAACCGTTCCAGAGTAGCTTGACCCTGAAATTGTTCTTCCTTCTTCCTGTTTTGAAAACAAGATAATGCTCTCTATCCAGTTCTTTTCAAGCATGAATGCCCAAGCTATAGCTGCCCAGAGCCCCTTCAAAGTCATTACTGAACTGTCATGGTTTATTGTAAAAAAAAAAAAGGGGGGGGGTCATTAAATATCCTGGAAGTAATCATATGAACTGAGTGGAACGTGGGTGTAATTAAATTAAAATTAAATCTGCCTTTTTGGAGCATACCCCACTGGACGCTTTTTGCCACTGCTGTTCTAAATGGACAGAGTTCAAGACCAAACTTCTTCTTCTTTTCTAAGGCTCCAATATCCAGCAGCTGAAGCCCAGTGCAAAGGACACGGACTCAATGTGTTCAATCCAGGAATTTCTTTTTAAGGGTCAACACTGATTTGCGCAGAGAGGGAACGAGTAAAGGCTAATTCTGGCTATCCCCCAGGAGCTTGTTTAATTTCAAGGGGAGCTACTTTTCGGCTGCCTTGAAAAACAATGTGGACGTCAGACATCCTTGCTGATCTTCTGCCAGTTGCCTAGAAGTCAGCCAGGAGATCAGTTGCTGACCTACCCCCTTTATCAGGGCATCATTTAAGCCAACTTTTAAGAAGAAGGGGGAGAGCAGCAAAGAAAGTTAGCCATTCCCCACTGCAACAGAAATGCTCAGCCATCACTGTACGCTCAGTTTCCACGCTGGGGGGGGGGGGGG